AGTACAAATATCGCTTTCATGAGGAGAAAATTACATAGTGATTGTCAAAAGTCTAATCTGACTTGCTCACCAGCATCTTCAAGAACTGTGTTGCTGACCTCCATGTTAGAATAAAGTATTGTGACAAGACAAAAAAAGAGAAGACAGAGTTTTAGATAACGGCAGCCACCAGTGTAATTTTCAGATCTATAAATGTTGCTAACAACAGTCCCTTTGAATTGTGCATATTGTGTAGATGTCTGAACACAAGCAGTTATCCATGGTGAAATATTTCACATCCAGAGCCTGTTTTTGCATGAAATTTGGGGTGGAGGGTGGGGGCATTGTCAAGTTCTCGATTTCATGCATAGATATGTGGCAGTACTAGTCTACATATTGAGATGTAATTCGTCTGCTTGAATGTAAAGCCTTTTGCCACAGCACTTCTTTTTCCTTCACTGAGACAATTTTCCTCCTCTGTGCTTCAGTTACAGCTAGAGAAAACTCCACTGAATTCCCCTCTGTATTCATTCCACTGCCCAGATGTAGAAGAAAAAAATACCGTAAGCTCTATAGGACAAACAGAAAGTTTCCTCTCACACCCTCCATCCTCATCCATCTTCTTTGTACGGGGACCTTTTCATCCAAGAATAGTCCAATATATTAAGAGAAAGGTTGCCTAGAAAGCTCAGAAAGCTCTTGAAAATGAAGAGGAATATTTGATATAATCCCTATCCCCCACTTTTCTGTTCAATATGTCATATTGTAAGTTTAACTGCCACATAAAAGAATTCAGTTCAAGAACAAGACTGAATATATCAAATTGCTGTGTGGTTTTTTTTTTCATATTGCTATAAAAGAAGCATTAGCCAGAATAAACAGTGTATCTAAAGTCAAAAGGTTTAGCAAAATGAAAAGGTCTGTGCCAGGTGGGGAAAAAAATTGGCTGAAGAGCATCAGTCCCCGTGGAACTGCCGATGAAAACTCCTTTGCTACATATCCAAGGTGGGAAAACCTATTGATGAAAGGACCTCCAAGTAAACGGTTCTTGAACCATTCATGGTTTCTCACCACAATAAATCGTGCTTAATTCTATCAATTCATTGATATGCTCCTCTTTATTAATTAATAGATTTTGGAATATTTTTAAGTGTTCCCCATCCACAAAATAGACAATCATCTCTGGATAGTAAAACTTTTAAACAAGAAACTGAGAGCCTCTGTTAAACAGAAGGAAGCAAAAGTATATAGGATGTTTTATTCAATATAAATTAATGATTAAATAATAAGTAAATTGATAAATACATAAATACAAATGCAATGTAAAATATTGAAACCAATCAATGCAATGGCAGGTAAGCATCTTTTAAAATCAGGAGCCATAGTCATAACAAAGGAAACTGTAGGAGGTGTGGAAATGAAAAGGCACTGCTGGCAGTTTTCAATATAATGGCTTGAAATAGACTACAGATGGAAGAGGGGAGTGCTAATGAATATTAGTTGCAGCGATCCAGTAGCAAGAAAACTTTTTAATTACTTATTGCTGGTCTAGAATGTAATAACCACCTCACCAGATTGGGCACTAGTCATGCACATATTACTTTATTTGCTAACGAAGTGACCATCCCACTTACACATCACTCTTTGAGCCAAGTTCAGGATTTGGCTTTTGGCATGTAAATATTTTGTCAGTGGCTAGACACTAGAATTACACAGTGATGCCTTATTAGCCAAGGAGGGCCTTCTTCATGGTAGTACCTACATGCTGAACTGTTCTGAAATTATTGTGACATTATTATATCCTTCACGGTTTTGGGGGAGACTTAATTGTTCCAGATAGGGTAGGCCTCTTTTATAAATGGTGCATGGAAGGGTCTTTTGCTTCTATTTTCTTCTCTACCAGGACATTTTCAATTAATTATATTTTGTGCTGTTTTCACTTCTTGTTTCATTATTACATTTTATAATTTGGAAAATGATTTGAGATTGGTTTTCATAGGAGATAGTTTTTAAATATGACAGGTAAATAAGTGGAGTCAATTACCCACAGGGGGTATATTCCTCTTTCCTGAATGTGTTCAAGCAAAGGCTGGACAGCCAGGTTATTTATTAAATTTATGTGCCACCCATCCCACCATCAAACCACCTTATTAGAGATAGTTTGATTTAGATCCCTGCAGAAGTCAGGAGGTTGGACTTACTGACTTAAATCTTTTTAAGGTTTGGTTTGTGTTTCTGCCTTCAGGTGGAAGTGGTTTCCCATTGTCTCCTTCATTAGGGTTGAGAGAGAGTGAATGGCCTTAAGTTAGTCAGTCTCCTGGTTAAAGTGGTTAAAGTAGTTAATGCCTAAGACCTTTAACGTCTTCTTTCAGTTGTATGCTTCTGTTGTTCTAATGGAGCTTTGGTGAGTAGATTACATCGCCTTCCCATTTTGGTACCTTCCAGATGGATTATACTTCCAGAATTGTAGTCTAATCCAGATGGATTAGGCTCCCAATTATAGTCTCAACACCTGGAGGACAATGAGTTGGGCAAACTGGCTGTGTCATATCCAGTAAATATTTCCGGTAGGGCAATGCTTGCTAAAATGAAATCAGTCCAAGGGAATTGTTTCCTATTTCAAAAAAAATGTTGCTGCATAAGAGACATTTATGGGATGGAGGAACAGGGAAGACAGACATATTTGCACACCACTGCTGCAAAGATAAACCAGAATATTCTAGGAATTAGGAATCTTCGGATTTGTATAATTGACATCAGATTGGAAGGAGAAGTACTGTAGTCTTTTTAAGTTTCCACAGATTCAGGTGTGTATGTGAACTGAGCATTAGACTTAGAGCAGACTCATTCACTAAGAAAGTTTCTGTGAAAGCAAAAAATAGATAAAACTAAAACTTTCCATCCTGATAGTTAAGGTTCATTTGGTCTTTAAATTTTTTTTTTTAAAAAAACACACACAGTTTACTCTCCAGAAGACTTTGGCATGCCAGCAGCTGATCAGGGAGCAAGGGTGTGCCAGGGTGATTGTTTGAATGGTTTCAATTAGCTTAATGGAATGGCCCTCTTATGAAGCCTGACCACAGTACGGTTTGAGCATCTGGTGCCCTGAATGGTAGGAGCTGACTAAGGAAATACAGGTTGGAAATTGTTTCAGTCTGCTGCTAGTCTTTGTTTCCATTATCTCCCTTGTAAGGTCCTCAACCTTGAACAGCAGGAAGTCCTCCCAGCTAGGAGAATCAGTCTTGTCCTTTTGCCCATGAAAACAGCAACCCTGGGGGAAGGACAAAGTTTTCCTGATAATTAGACCTTCAAAGAAATTTGGGGGGGGGGGGGCATTCTTGTCCATTCGCTCATGGGGCTAACTTTGGGTGTAATTCATTTAGTTTGAAGTTGCAGCCTGGAAGCCTTGAGGCTATCATAACCATAATTGATTGGTTGGGATTTGCGTGAGGAGATGCCCTGCTTTGGGCACGACACATGTGCTTCATCAGCTCCGGTGACTGGCAGGCAATATGAATATGTTTTTGTCCCCTTACCAGATTGATACCCCACCTTTCATTCCGTGAAGGCAGCAAACATAGCACTCTTGGAGGGAGGTGGGTGGGGCTGGCCCCCATGTCATTACAGGAGCTTCCAGGAGTAAAATCTGGGACTCCGTGGTTCCAGTCCATGTTTTAACTATTATAACCCAGTCATACATTCTTGTAGAATAGGCCTTTCCACCCTGAAAAGGCATTATGCGTTTCTTCCCTCAGCTTCATTTTCCATAAATCATTTCAGGAACTCCAGAATCAAAAGGATTTTTTTTTATTTCGTTTCCATTGTGGATTTATATCCCACTTCACTGCTGGAGTCTTTTAAGCATGTTGTTAATTCTGATTTTAATCATATTTCATTTGGATTACAGTATAATGCTATCCTATCCCACTATTTTTTTTTACTATTATTTGCATGTCTGCTTTCATGAGATCACTTTATAAGCCTTTACTCTTTAATGAAAAGCATTAATCATCATTTGACTTTTATTAAATAAAAAAAGGTTTTAGGGGAAAATGTATGAAAGTATCTGTTTGTCTAATGCTAGATCATTGTTGGATTTGGTTTTGTTTGCTTTTTAGTTTGTTTTATCAGGTTTAGAAATTGCTCATCTTCCTTAGAGAGGGACTTTTTTGATGCCAGGACATTGCCTGGACATTTCCTTGCAGTTCCTTGGAAAGATTTCAGATATGGCTTGCCACTGCCTACTTCCTTGGGCTGAAAGAGACTGGCTGGCCCAAAGTCAACCAGCTGGTTTTATACCTAACAACTCACAATCCCCTGGTTTCTAGCCCGGTACCTTAACCGCAATACCAAACTGGTTCTCAGTGTACAAAATTTTAAATGCTGGAAGGCTGATAGAGAAAGTAGAAAAGTTTGAGCTGGTCACCTGCTTTGGTGAATACCTGTTGGAGGTATAGCCCTGTGACAGTCTCCGTTGTTGCAAGATGTTGACCATACTCTTGGCTAGAGTGTCTCTTCTTTGTTTCCTGTGTTCTAGAACTGACTCGGAATCCAAAATGATTTTTCAAAGAGTAAGAGCTTCTGAATCAAGGCGTTCCTTGAACCATAACCTAAGGAACAAGCTATTTTTTTTCATAGCTACTACACAAAACAGAAGCATTTTATTGTAACCCTACTCTGTGAATGAATTGGCGTGCCAAATTCCAGGCCTTTGAAATGAAAAGCATTTAAAGACTGGCTGTGATCAGTCTTCCTCTTCAGTACAGATACCAGGTAGCTCTTTAGTGGCCAAAAGAATTAGCCATCTCCCTATAAACTGCTTGCTGGTTCTTAGCATTTGTTAAGAAAAGCCCAAACAAGTGAGCATCTTTTGATTTTCAAGTATATTGTCTTTTTTTTCCTTCATTTCTGTCCAGATCTATAAAAATAGATCGATAGATCTATAAAAATGGTTCCTCTTGTACTTGGTATTTTTCTCCTTTTTTAACACAAATAACTTGATGTTTGCATTTCTTTTGCAGGTCAGCGTTTGTTTGGGGAAACGATCTTGGGGCTGACCCAAGGCTCAGTCTCAGACCTACTTGCTCGCCCAAAGCCCTGGCACAAACTGAGCTTGAAGGGCCGGGAGCCATTTGTACGCATGCAGCTGTGGCTCAATGACCCAAACAATGTGGAGAAGCTGATGGACATGAAGCGCATGGAGAAGAAAGGTAACTTCTGTCACTTCTGCAGTCGAAGGGAGGGGAATTGATGTCCAGCCCAGGATGACTCTCTCATTTAATTGAAAAATGTTTTCAATATGTTCCAAATATCACTGGCCAAGAGCATAACCTTCTGAGTCATGCAGTTCCCACAGCTTGTGGGCCACCCAGAGTTGGTGTTTTCAATAGGGTTGCCTTAGATATCCAAATAAATAAATAAATAAAACATCAAAAAGGTTAGTGTGTGGGAAGAAGTGCTTAATCTGATCCAGGAAGGTTAAAATTAGTCAAAACCAAGCACATATGTGCATAACATGAAACCAGCAACCAGGGATACAGTAGAAACACCTAAGCTAGTTAGTTGTCCCATTTTTTTTCCAATAATTTTGCAAGAAAAGAGTTTTGAGGAAAAGAATAGCTGAAAAAGAAAACTTCTGTATCACAAAGCACAGGAACTCCAGAGTAAATGGTGGGTTATATATCCAATGTATCCAATAAATGCATAAATAATGTATATTTATTCAGTGTGTGCCTAATGCAGTCAGCTAGACTTTGCAACAAATGTATACAACTGCAGAATATAAAAACATCTAAGGTAAATGCCTTTAATAGGTCATAATTATGCACTGCTTCAAGCTCCTGAGCAATAGATGGGATATAACTCTGATAATTAAATAAATAAGTAACCCTTTGTAGTCATATCAATCGCCATAAGCTTCTGAAACAATTTAGTTTTTAGCAGCTTACTCAAAGTTAGTTAGATAGGCTCTATTAGGATGCCATTAGAATAAAACCCAGAGTTGCAAGCCTTACCTTTTCAAATTGTTTGGAGAAGTACAAGTAGTTTTATCCAAGGATGACTGGAGTAGATATTTCAATTCCATTTGGAGAAAATGGTTCTATAGATATCTCAGATATATATAGGGGTTTTACAGATTAAACCTGCCATTTGAATTGCACCTAGAAGGCAGTAGGAAGTGACTACACGTCCTGGACTACTGATATAAAGTGCTTATATCAGTGGCAACAAGTAAGCCACACATTCTTTACCAGCTGGCTCAGGATTGTTTTAACTGTAGTCCCACATAGAACACATGCAGTAATCCAAGCACATATAGGTAGTCCTTAACTTACAACCACAATTGGGACTGGAACATCTATCACTAAGCCATACAGTCATTAAGTGAGTTATGCCTGATTTTATGACATTGGTGCTGTGGCTGTTAAGTAAATCATATGGTTATTAAGTGAATCCAGCTTCCTCCATTAATTTTGCTGGTCAGAGGTCCCCTGGGTAGATTGCAAATGGGCAATCACATGATCTCTGGACACTGCAACTGTTGTAAATTCATGCCAGTTGACAAGCACCCAAATTTTGATCATGTGACTACAGGGAGAGTGTGATGGTTGTAAGTATCAGGACTGATCATTGGTCCCTTTTTTCAGTGCCATCATAAATTTGAATGGTCATTAGAAAGCAACCATCAAGACTAATAGCCACCATTTACCTAGTCGCCCTTGAATTAGTTCAGTCCCCTCTTAATTAAAGCTATCTGGTCACCATATGTGAACTCTTATCTTTTATTGTCGTCATGTTGTATTATTTTATTTCCATACAAGACCATAATATAGCAGTAGAAAAACTTGGTTTTGGTTTTTTCCCCCCACTTTTCTTGGTTATCATGTCTCCAATATCAGGAGGAAACTAGATTAAGTCAGGCTGTAATAGATGGTCATAAAGTTTTGATAAATGATTTCACCACATACACAGATTGTAGGACAAGGACTCTGTGTAAAGACTGGCCCAATCAGTGTGCTCTCTAGGAGATGCTTCAATCATTACAAGACAGCCCAGGTCACATTTGGTAAACATTAATTGGTGGGATACAAAATCTGTGGACTTCTACGTATTTCTGAGATAGAAACCTGCCCCAGATGACACCGCTGGAAATTAATAACAGCTCCAAGAGTATTAAGTTCCCTATCGTTGTAAGTCATCAAAACAGTCATCTGCCAACAGGAAAGCAGAGTCACAAATTCCACAGGTTCCAAGCGCCCTCTTGTGATCTTAAATGCTGATAACTCTTCAAACAACTTGTTCAATCAAAATATTTAGCAAGAACAACCAGGGTAGTATGGAATAATCTGATCCACCAAAGACCAATTAATCAAGTCTATTACAATCATAGACCTGTGTGGGAATGGGGTACAGCCATTACAAAGAAGCATTAAAAATGAAGGTATTTATGTGTGTGTATAAAATGTATAAAGAATTACAAAAAGGTAGTAGATATAAAAGATACATAAATGAAAAGCATATATATATATGCTTTTAATACACACACACACACACACACACACACACAAACACACACACACAAAGTGAGAATCTAAAAAAGATTTAGGAGTATTAGATAGGGGAACATAAAAAATTAGTACGCAGAAGACTGTCAAGTGACAAAGCATCTTAATATGGTAAACGAGGTAAGCATTAAATTTAGTTTATAAAGTTGAGCAAGCACAACTTATCCAATAAATGTTGAGTACTGTTGCAGAGAACCTGGCCAAGTTGTGTGTTGTGGCAGAGTTTGAAAGAAACAAGGTGGTATACATTTCTAATGATTAAGATCAGACGAGTGTCAATGACTCTGTAGTACAGAAAGCACTTGCTCTCTTTTGTTTTAGGTGTCCAAGTCACAGGGGCATTTTCAGTCCAAGTAGGGAATCTTCCATGTATTCGTCTTCAAGGGCAGCTGTGGAGAAGGCATGATGTCATGCCAGAGTAGAGCTCCTTTGTGTTTAGGTAGTATGAGTTTAGTTAAATATGCCATGAAAGAAGCAGAGTATCTTTTAGATTCACTGGCAAGATAGTTTGGATCCTGGGCAAAGTCCATCTGATACTCTGTGCCTGATATGAATTGTTTAATAAGTGTTTTGATCGGTTCTTCCCCATGCTGAGTAGAAGACCTGGAAGGAAATCCAAGGATAAGATTTTAGTTGCCACCTGCTTCCTTATATGTGAATTGAAAATAGTTGTTTGATGGGACAAGACCAAGGAGAGAAGAAAAATAGCCTAAGTGAGTAATTGAATAGGGTTGTTCACACCCTAGCCATTGCTTTCATGAAGTCTGTATGTGATATAGTATAGCAATAGTACTTAGACTTGTACTCTGCTTTACAGTGCTTTAAAAACCTCTCTAAGCGGTTTACAGAGTCAGCATATGGCCCCCAACAATCTGGGTCCTCATTTTATCCACCTCAGGAGGATGGGACGCTGAGTCAACTGTGCAAAGTTTGTAGTCATCCTTAGTAAAGCTAGTAAAATTATTTGTATCATTAGATCACTTGATTTAACTTTTTAATTAAAGTATAAAATATACAATTACTTGAGGCATAGTTATGCAGGACATGACTGCTACTGTAAAAGGACTTTTCAGTCTTCAACCATAAATATAAATGAAGTGCAAGACCCACTGTTCTCTCTCTGGAGAATGGAGGTTGCTTGCTTGTGGTTAGCAGAAATGGCAGTTCAAGGATACTCATGTTTACAGGAGGACCTATAATGAAGAAATAGATGCTTTGCCAGCAGAAATCCTCCAATATAACCTCTAGCATCTCAGGTAGGATATATGGGACCTTGGGCTAGCTGCAGGACAATAAATGCGGCCTGAGATGGGCTGCAAATCAGGCATCTGAATCAGCAGGCAAAGATTCAGGAGCCAACCCCAAATTTACATCAGGTGAAGGCTGAGTTCCACAGTAACAAAACAGGAGAGAAAGAGGTAGGAGCAGACATAAAGCAGAGGCATCTCTAAGGGATTGCAAGCTGAAGCATCAATCAGGGAACAGAAGCATTAGGTAGATAAGTCTGGTTCAGTTACAAAGATTTTCATGGAGGCTGATGGTATCCTGATTTCTGTTAAGACATGCCAGATGGCCAGTTGGCTCTCTCAAACTGGAATTCCAGTATAGAAATCATGTTTTCCCCTTTAGGCAGTTACTTGCAAGCAGATATTCTTCAAATGAGTTGGATATTATGTAACTCTCATAGTAGTCAAGACATTAAGTGTCATAGGGCAACTTGCCTGGCCTCCTGTGGAGCTAAGCCAGAGATAGGCAGACTTCAGGATGATAGAATTTGTATTGTAGTTCATTGCACAGTTGTTTAGACAGGATTTGGCATTTTTATCCATCTATCAAGTTCAGGAATAGGCAGGTGTTGTTTGATGGTGTTAAAGGTATTGTTACAGGATACAGGATATAAAGGTGCCTTTTGCAATTGTCTCATGGTGATTTTGTAGTTGCCAATAGTGTTCAGGTGGCACTCCAGATATTTTGGAATTGTACCAATTCCAATTCTATTGGCAATTCTATTGGCACTATCTTTGTTTTCTTTTGCCACAGTCATTCTACTTCTATTTTCAGATCTTTGTATTTTGTAATTTTCTCCAGTTCTTACTCTTCTCTTCTGCTGTCTTCAGGTATTCCAGTGTCTATTATCCAGACTTTTTCTGTCTTTCTTTTCAACAATTGTTAAGTCTGGGGTGTTAGTGGCAGGTTTTTGCTTGAATTCCGAAGATTAGAAGCTGCCCAGGGCTGGTTAAAAGATGAGCAACCAGCTTTAGTGTATAAATATTTTAAATAAGTAAAATCCCAGACCACTTTAAGTCTTCATTTTCTATTATTTTGTCTATTTTGTGGTCCCACCGGTTCTTATTTGCAGACAAGTGGTCTTTCTTTCAAGATATTCCATTGTACTATTGTTGCTATTTTGTCATACTATTATTTGTAGTCACTCTGTGCAATTTTCTTTCAGCAGTTAACTGGGTGGCTCACTGATTGTTAATATTATTGAATCTGAAATGCCTCCCTGTTGAAACCTTAGGCAAAAGATAAGCACTTATAGTTACCAAATTCTAAACTCAGGAATTTATTTTATAAGGTTTATAATTAAATAAAAATCAAACCCCTTTTGTATGGTTGATTAAGCCAAGCATTGTTTCAATAGTTAAATGCATAAAGAGAGGAGTATTACTGCAAATGTTCAATGTTAAAGGACAGCTGTGTTTTGCCATTCACCAAAAGATTTTCCAGGAGATCTTGATCTAATGTCTGATTTGATCTACTATGAGATACAATCCCGTTTATCAGTTTCTGAGTGCATTTCAGACTCCACACAGTACCCTACAGGATGACTAGAAACATCTTGTGCATGAAAAATGGAAAGAAACTGTCAGATGTGTGTCTGAGCTAAGTAAACCAGTTTTAAGCAGATTTCCTATGTCCCATAGAGTTGCAGAACCTTTTCATTATGAACCAGGTTTCCCCATTCATTGTGTTTGTCTCTGGCTGACAGCGTGGCTTCCTTTGTTTTCCAGCATACATGAAACGGCGGCACAGCTCTGTCAGTGACAGCCAGCCTTCAGAATCATCTTCCACTGGAATAGATTACAGCCAGGGGGCCAGCCCACAACCACAGCATCAGCTCAAGAAGCCACGGGTTGTCTTGGCTCCAGAAGAGAAAGAAGCTCTGAAACGAGCCTATCAGCAAAAGCCATACCCATCACCAAAAACTATCGAGGAACTTGCCACACAGCTCAACTTGAAGACCAGCACTGTCATTAATTGGTTCCACAATTATAGGTAGGTAGCTCCGGGGTTTTCCGGTTTTACTGCAGCACCAGTAGTCTTTTTGCCCTTTTCCTCACAAGGCTCTTGGAAGGGCAGTTGCTTTACTACGGCTTTCAGTTTCAGCTGTTAGCTTGGTCTATGTCTAACACAGGAGTGTCAAACTCAAGGCCCAAGGACTGGATCTGGCCCACAGGGTGCTTAGATCTGGCCTGTGGGGCTGCCCTGGAAAGAACGAAGGACCAGCCTGCAGTGCCTCTGCTAGTGAAAAAGGAGTTCAGGAGGGCCGCAGGCGTCCACCCTGAGCTCCATTTTCATTGACAGAGTGTTGCAGGAGGCCATTGCAACCAAAAACGGAGCTCGGGAGCCTGTTTCACTGGCAGAGAGCACTCAGACCACCACAGGCACCCCCAACACAAGTGATGTCGAGCTGGCCACTCCCACCCTGGCCCCCCAAGGTCAAACACAACCCTGATGCAGCCCTCAATGAAATCAAGTTTGACACTCCTGGTCTAACAGAAGCAGTGTACAGGTAGTCCTCAGCTTATGACCCTTCAGTCAGAGACAATACTAAGAACGAATGGTAGTTAGAACCAGTCCTCAGAGTTCAGACCAACACAGCATCCTCACGGTTACATGACTGTAATCTGAGTACTCGGCAATCCATTCACGCCAGTGGTGGGATTCAAAAATTTTTACTACCAGTTCTGTGGGTGTGGCTTAGTGGGTGTGGCAGGGGAAGGTTACTGCAAAATCCCCATTCTTTCCACACCCCACTAACCTGCTTTCCAGCTCCTTTCTCCTGTGCAGGGCAACAAAATAAGACCCAGCCGATCAGCTGGGATTCGGGAGGCAGAAAAGAGATGGGGGCGGGGCCAATCAGAGGTGGTATTTGCCGGTTCTCCGAACCAGGGGTGGGATTCTACCAGTTTGCACCTATTTGCTAGAATCGGTTGTTAACATTCTAAGCAGTTCAGAGAACCAGTTGTTAGAAGTAATTACTGGCCTAATCCTGTAAGGAAGGCAGGAAGGAAATATTTCTGGTGTTGCTTACAGAAACTGCCTCTCCATTAACCCTTATTACATTCTTGGCAGGACTAGACTTCCTGTCTCAGCAACCTCTCTGGAGTTTTTTTTTTCCTCCTTTGCTGGTACTTTGCTTGTGTGGAGTGACCATTCAAAGTTACAATGGTGCTGAAAAAAGTGACTTATGACCATTTTTCATACTTGTGACTGTTGCAGCATCCCCATAGTCATGAGAGGCCAGGCGAGGAGATGCGTGCCTCGATGTGAGTGATATTGACTTGGCCACGCTCAACCAATAACATGATCACCAAGCCACCCCCACCAACTTAGACATGCCCACAGAACCGGTTGTTAAAAAATTTGAATCCCACCCCTGCTCCCAACTACTCAAAATTTCTGCTACCAGTTCTCCAGAACTGATCAGAAACTGCTGAATACCACCTCTGATTCACACTTACAAGTACTTGCCAAGCATCCCACAATCATGTAATTGCCATTTGCAACTTTCTCTTCCAGTTGACTCAAAAGTATCTGTGACAGGGAAGGTTGCAGGTTGCTCCTCCACCCTCACACCCTCCCCCAGCTCCTCTTTTGTTAACTCAGTTTTGCTCCATTTTACAACCATTTCTTGCCACACTTGCTAAGTGAACCATTGAAGTTGTTCATTTAGAACAGGGTTGTTAAGTGAATCTGGTTTTCCCCCATTGACTTTGCTTGTCAGAAGGTCGCAAAAAAGGATCACAGGACCCCGGGACACAGCAACAGTCATAAATATGAACCAGTTGCCAAGTGTCTGAATTTTGATCACGTGAGCGTGGGGATGCTGCAGTGGCTGTAAGTGTGAAAAACCGTCATATGTCCCCTTTTTTTCAGCACCATTGTAACTTCGAATGGTCATTAAATGAACTGTTGTAAATTGAGGATTATCTCTACTGGCTGCTCGGAGGCCCTCCCTGATCCTCCCTGTACCACTACCTTCATACACCCTCCATGTGCCACACTTTTCATGCACTCCCTCGTACCCCCTTCCCAACCTGCAATAGTGCCTCTTGTGCATATCCTCATGCACCTCTTGCACATCTCCTTGCACCCTCCATGACCTACGCCATGCCTCTCAGGCACCCAGTCCATGCCACACCTATCCCACACACCTGCAGAACTGCAGAAGGTCATCGTGGCCAAAAACAAAGCTCAGGAAGGTGCGTGTGGCCCTCCTGAGCTCTGTTTTCATTGGCAGGGGCACTGCAGGCCAGAATTTTGCTGTTTCCAAGGCGACCCGTGAGCCAGATCTAAGCACCCTGTGGGCCAGATCCACCACCACCCCGCGGGCCTTGAGTTTGAGACCCCTGCTCTGTATGTCAGGATTCTGACATTAAACCTATTTAAATCATGAGACTCTAGCCAAACTCCAAAAGGATTTATTGGGAGTTAAAAGATGTGGCATTGCCTGGGTGTAGCCGATTCTGAGACACATAATTCATTGCCACCCTTGACCCTGGTTTTCCCCCATCCCTGGTGTATCACAATTCATATTCTCCAATGGGACACATCCATAGCCAAGAGTCATCAGTCATACTCTCCAGCTAGAATTTTGTGCAGCAGAAACCTCAGTCGCCTAGAAATTATCTTTGAAAACATTTATGGAATGCAAGCTGCCCACTGCTTCCCCCTCCCTTTCTGTTGGCAACTCTAAAAGACCACAGAAATATTTTATGAGTTGACACTGTAATGATGATAGAATCCTCCCAGATACACCCCGTTTGATGTCCTTGGAGGAAGCGCCAGGTGCAACTTCCGTTATCATCTCAGCTGCCACCGGTGGTGACACTCCTTTCTTGCAATGTTTCTTTCAGGTCACGTATTCGTCGGGAGCTGTTTATTGAAGAAATCCAAGCTGGAGGCCAGAGCCAGGCTGGGTCGAGTGACTCTCCTTCAGCTAGAAGCAGCCGGGCAGTTCACAGCTCTGAAGGAGACAGTTGTGATGGGGTGGACATGGAAGGCCCATCGGATACAAAACAAGGCAGCCTGGAAGCAGATGAGTACAGCAATGCAACCATGAAGTCTCAGGGAGGGCGAGCAGCGTCAGCTTTCGAAGCAGGGGAAGAGGCACTGCGAGACGCCGGATCTTCGGAGAAAACGGAGACATTCCAGTTGGGAATGGAGAGCTTGGAAGACACAGATGACGAGGGAAGGCTCAAAGCACCACGTCAGGGTTCTCCACTGAGCTCTCAACATTCAGGAGAAACTCTGGAGGCCAGGCCCAACTGTGCTCCAGAAGAGGATGCCTCTACCTCAGTCCTTGCAGGGCAGAGCTCCTGCAAGCCCAGGGGAGAAAGTGTGGAGAAAGTGCCCATTGTGCCAAGTACCAGTTCCACGCTGGCCATCACCAGCTCTCAGAAATCCAACTCACTCAAGAGCTTGTTCAGCTTTTCTGAGGCAGCGTGCTCCAAGAACACACGGGACAACACCTTGAGGAAAAAGAAGGCAGCAAATTTGAACAGTATAATCCACCGTTTGGAGAAGGCTGCAAGTCGAGAGGAGCCCGTTGAATGGGAGTTTTGAGATTAAGCGCACCCAGCTCCACAGGGCTGGGGAAATTAAAACTTGGACCTCTGTTGGTTTCTATTGTGTCCCGCACTTACCGCCCTGCAGGCCACGGGGCAAAAAATGCCATAGGCCAAGGTGCATATAGAGAACAAAAGGAGTGTTTTAAGCCCAGTTTTATGTTTGTGTTTTCAAGGAAGAAAACTGAAACTTGTCCAGCTTTTTGTACCCTGAAGTGTTTCTATTAATTGCCCTAAAGTGATTTCCACAGTTTCTGGGGAAGAAAAAAAAAACTCATACAGCTTTTGCCTTTTGCCCTCCTCTTTGGTGTGGGCTTTAAAACAAATATATATATATACAAACAAGAAAAAAAAAATTAAACCCACATATTTAAAAGGGGGGCTTTTTATCAGCCATCTAATGGCTAAACAGAGCGATAATAATACACTATTATCTTCTTTAACCAGGAAAACAAAAAGATCGGAGGGGAGAGATTTTTTGAGATTAAAATAAAAAGTTGTTTTGTAGCTCTTCAGTTGCCACTAAGAGATTGCACAGTCAACCCGACTCTAAACACACTAGTTTGAATTCCTAAATATTTTCAAGAAAGAGTATTGTTTGAAACTTGGGGTTTAAAAAAAAAAACACATTTACTCCATGTATTTTTTAAACAGACAAAAAAAAAAAAGACATCAGGAAAACATCTTAATTTGTGGTAGCTGACTTCAGTGTTTTTCTTGTAAAGTGGAATTGACTTGTAGTGCACATTGTTTCATAGCTTTAACTGATTCTAGTCTCTTTGTTGGCTGGAATTTGTTTAATACACTCCATTTTAGGCCAAATCAGGACAGGAAAAAAAGAAGAAGAAAAATTCTGAAATCTAGGTATTTTATAATCTGCTTTTTAACCTCTAACCACAAAGCACGCGGATCAGACCTCATTCTGGGAGGGGTGGGAGACAGCTTGGAAGAGGGATGTACTTGATCGGTTCAGATTAAATTGCATTATGCCAGCCTTGCCAACAATAAGTCACTAGTCCTCAATACCATCTGATTGCACATGCTACATTAATCATTGGTCCATGTGGCCTGTAAGAAGAAAAACACACACCAGCTTTTTGAAAGAAAAAAATAAATTTCATGGGCACCTGGAAACACTCCTTAACACACGCCAGGCAATCAGGCGGGTGGCATAATGATAATACGCCACACAAAATACAGTGTGTGGGGGTTTTTTGACAAGAGAGGGGTTGGTTGGCAGGAAAGATGAAGCTGGTATCAGTTTCAAAAAGAGTGTGGTGGTACAACAAGAAGCCTTACCCAGCAAGATGAGTTTCCATTGTCCCTAGCTGGCAATAGTTCATAGGACAATATAACTGGGGCCCATTATTTTAGTACGATCTGGGGTTTAACTGGTATTTCATCAGCCATTGCGCTATTCTGGTCTCACCCACTCCAGAGAATAAGGGCAACTGTTTCAGCCTCTTTGGAGTATCTTTAAGCACTCCTAAATTATTACCCATGGTCCCATGGCATATACTGGTGACAAAAAGGGAGTGAGCCCAGAAGTAGAGGACAAAACCCTTGATTATCACAAAGTCAAACTACAAAATGGCTAACCAAAGCACACGACAGGAACTGTTCCCCTCTCCCAAAATAATTTAGCTCTTCCTGTCATTTTATGACAGCAGCAGGGCCGATCAAAGTACAGAATCGATTTTCCAAATTGTCTCTAGCTCCTCCTGTTGTCTATGTGTATATGCGCGAGCATAGAAGTGTATGGAGAAATGAGAGTGCGTATGTGTGTGTGTGCATGTGTGCAATTTTATACGTTGGTATTTTCTTACGTACTTGTGCACGCTTAGAGTGCATTACTGCCACCTTTTTTCAATAAGCTGTTTTATCAGTTATGGCTTCTACAGATTCGCTGATTTAGATTCCTTTATTGCCATATCTTTAAAACTAACAATAGATGATTTTGGTGTGTATGCATGGGTATGAATGTGTGTGTATATATATAGATATATATACATGCACATACACATGCATACATGGATATAGTTATTATTTTTTTGGCTTATTTATAGGTGCTGTATTTTATTATCTGATTACTAGGAAAGGACAAAAGGGGCAAATATTCTTTAGAGGGATAGACTGCCGGCAGTATTGGGTTTAATTTACAAGATGTAGTTGTCAAACTGTATATTATTGACAGATTTCTTTTTTTTTTTTGGAGGGCCGTATTGTGTATCATGGAAAACTGCTTAGGTCAACATCTTTTGATGACACTTTAATGGTGCATTCATGACTTATGTTCTAATTAATATTTACTTTATGATATTGTGGGAGGGGTTGGGGAAGAGACATTCTGACTTTAAAGATATATTCCCAATATTACACCTCAATGTAGTTGTATTAATTGGTCACTAAGTCTGTTTTGGGGAGGGGACAGTACTGTAAAATGTGAAATTACCTTCCCTGTGTATTCTTTTTCTTTATTTAAAAAAACAGAAATTAGGTTTTTATCATGTCTTCAATATGCAACAGCAGCACTTAATTAAGTCTTCACAAAATTAAGAGTTCAGTAGCTTTAACAACAGCAACAACAACAAAAAATGCCTTTTCATGGTCCAGAACAAAAGCTCTAGGAGGCTGGAAGGCAGGTTTGCTTTTCCCACTTTTTTCTCTTAATTTTATAGTTTCTTGGCTGTTTGGGGGATAGGAAATGTTATCTTTAAGATGCACAAAGAGCTCTTATCATGACTTGAAGGTGCAAATCAGTACATATATAAGCAAGATTAGGGACAGATTCTGGCTTGAGAATCAATAATGGGACAGCCACATTTTCCCTTTAAAACAACATTTCTCGAGCTCAGCAACTTGAAGCTATGTGGACTTCAGCTCCCAGAATTCTCCAGTCAGCATGCTGGCTGGGGAATTCTGGGAGTTGAAGTCCACACATCTGCAAGTTGCCAAGCTTGAGAAACGCTGCTTTAGAGCACCTTGAGATCTTAAGGCCAGCTTTCTAGAAAATTGATTATAGAATGCTTATGATAGCTGCCACCCATCTGGTCCCAACATGGACAGTTACAGCATGTGACATGGCTTCAAATTAAAGACCTGCCTTCCACATAAAATGAGAAATCCCCACTTCCTTTGCAAAACTGGAAGCAGCTCTTCATTCTCTGACTAGATTTAAAAAAACACTTGCGCTGCTTCACTTCCATTAGGTTTTAGCTTCCCAGCAAGCACACAATTAGCTTTTAGCCTTCCAGTTTCTGTATATTTCTTTAGGCAACGGAGCAATATCCCAGTTTTGGTTTATTGTCTTCCTCTTAAATACTTTCCAGTGTGTTCAGTTCAGTTAGCCATTGAAGTTAAGACCTCCCTTTTCCCTCAGTTTCATTCTATCAACATCCTGGGTGCCTCTTCTCCATAACGCATGGAGAGATATCACTAATGTGACACAGGGCAGCCTAGCACTTGGGGTTCTGCCATTTGCCCTAATAAGCAATATTTAAGTGCCTTGGGAAAAAGAAAATATTCTCCTGTCTTTCATGTGCTTTCCCATCCAGATACACTTGGATTTTAGCAAGGAAATTACAAAAATTCGGATTTACCTCTTCTTTTCAAGTTTGGCAGTACTTCCTGTTGCAGCAAAGTGGTATTGTTTCATTCTTCCCCGAGGGAAAAGCCTGCTCAAGAACATGTGGCTTATTGCAACCAATAATGGTTGCAGAGTTTAAGCCAGGTAGATCAAATGAAAAGTGGTAGTGCTCTGCTCATAGCTGCACATTCAATTCAGGAAGTTTCTGGAGATTTAATTAATTTGGCACTTTAATCATGTTCGGGCTCTCTTGGTCATTTCTGTTCTCAGTTTGAAAAGAACGGCTGCAATTGAGAGAACCAGGGTGGCCAACATTTCTCAAAAATCCGTATCTTATTAACAAGGGTGCCATTAGTTATCCCGGTGTTGGTCTTAACAGTTTGAGTACCATCTTGGCCTAGTATGATAGGACTCCACTTTCTATGGGTAGATTTAGCTCTTATTGGATTTTTCTGCCATGCAGAGTTAATGGCAAGTTTTGGTAGTTTGCCTGATGCTGTATTTTCTGACTGAGATTCAGGAGATTTTGGAGGAGGGTGCCATTCGAGAGTTTTCTTTGGGTCTCTCTGAAAAGGTTTAACTCCTGATCCTGGTGTTCTTTAGCTATTGACTGGCAGTTCTGTGAGTTGTAGTCCCAATACTTCTTGAAGTTTGACTGGATGGTGGGAGGCTATTTGATGCCTCGAACAAGAGAACTATAATTAAGAAGGGAGCAACATTCTGTAAATGTATATTTTCTGATTCTGTCCCTTAAATTGTAGAAGTACATCACCCAGTTAAAATAATTGACTGAAGATTTACTCTACCTAAAGCAATCATCAGTCTTCTCTTGTTAGCCATTTAGGAAGGATTTGTGCTTGGGTGCCAGCTCTATTGCCCGCTTCAGCCTCACTGCATATTTGATCCACTGTGAAGATTGACACTTTAGTCCACTTACAACTTAAATCACTCTTCCCTTCCACATATATACAACACTTTTCAAACTAGTAGATAGGGTTGACTGCTTTTCTAACTAGACTTTCTGCCCCCTGGTTCACAAGTTAAGTCATGATGTTGATTGGTTAGTTGGGACAGGATTGTTGCTTTTTCCAACTTCTTTTGTGCAGACCCAGCCAGAGGTGGTTGATTAAGTAAACCATTTCAAAACAACCCACGGCATAGCATAATGTACAATCTCTTTCTGTATTTTGGAAGACTCTTGGAGTATCCATCTATCTATCTTGTGTATTCATCTATCTATCTTCCAGACACTCAAGAAATCGGGTTTTCTTTAGATTGGTCCAGGAAACTCTTGATGATAATATCTGTAATGCTAGTCAGTTTTCCTGAAAAAGCAGCCGTCCCATCTACCTGTCCTGCAAATGCGAATATACTCCATTCAGTAAAAGCTGTAACTCTGCCTAGCACCCCAGCTTAAACCAATTCTCTGTCCCAGAATATACCCAGAATCCTCAGCAACATGCTGTCTGTCATTCCATGGCTCACATGCTGTTTTATTTCTGCCATAGATAACATGGAGGCTGCTGCTCATCTGGTTTCCACTTTTAGAGACTTATATTAATTTCACAGCCCTCCTTTGAAGTCCCGGTTAGCCACAAGGTTTCAGTCAGTTGTGGGTAGATGGTACATCTTTCGCTTTGCCTACAAGGGGCAGAGCAGACGCCAGTTGGAATAGCCAGGGGACCCCCAGCTTTCCCCTTCCAAAGAGATTTTTTTGTCAGCTAATTCCAGCCTTCAAGCAACAAGAATGACTGAGCAACCTTCCTCTCAACGCTGTCAGCGAGATAGGTACTGTGGAAAGGAGCTCCTTTATTTCCATATTGCTCTGTTTCCCTTTGAGGTGGGATTATTGTAATGCAGCTTTCAGCCAGCCTTGAGTAGAGGCAACCACAGCAGCTTTGGATTTCTTAGAGTTAATTTGAAATAGGAAAATTACAAGCTGCATTGAATTGAACTTAACAATTAAATGGGCAGAGGATTACCAGTGCCCCTCTTGGGATGATTTGAGTTCTTCCTATACTCTCTGGTGTCAGAGTAGTTGACATAAATGCATTTATCTGAAGAGGGAAGGAAATTAGCTTGCAATCTTGAGAGGCCAGACTGACTTACTGACTCATAAGGAGACACTTCAGCTTGTTCTTTTAATCATTAAGCCTAGCAGAGGAGAACAATTATGTACAATGACTTTGCTTTCAGGATACATTGAAGCAGAAGCTTGCCAACCACATTTTGCTCTAGCATATTGTATGAAAACACTCCATGGATTTGATTTACATTCTGTGTGTTACGCAACCCTCCAAAATTGAGTTAATTCTGTAAAGTACATTTTATGGCAAATGTTGGGCAGGTATCGCCTATGTTTTGATTATGGAGAACTAGAAAGATAAGTGTTGGAAAGCTGGAGTCAGTCATATTTGTACAGAATTATTCAAATAAATTGAACTTAGCTGGAAATTCTCACTTGCAAACTACTAAACCTGGCTGCAGAATCTCCAGACCACCACTAGATAACAGCAGAAGCCATTCAGATCAATGGATTGAATTGGGTGGCTATAGAAAATAAATAAGAACTTTTGTATCTCTGCTGCCATCTCGAAGTCATCTGGATTTTTGTAGTCCATATGTGGGAGCCTTAGTACAAAATGTCTAGTTAACTGTGCTTTTCTAGTCTGTGACTGAAAAGCCAGTGGTGCCAGAGTGTCATCCAAGTTAAAGAACCTTTGCAAAGGAAACTACTGATATTACATTTCAGTTTGCTATTTCAGTATGTAGAAATGCTGCCATTTAAAATAAAGCAATAATTTGTGGTTTTGACAGGTAGCAGAGCACTGTTTTTTTAAACATTGTGATGTGTTTGGGTGTAAGAATAGTTTAAAATAAATCCTTAAATATGCAGCTCCAAATAAGAACTGAGAAAGCCACATTAAAAAAAAAACCAGTTCTAGGACATTGATTGAACATAAATTCAGATACCATAGTTAAAGTGCCTCGGCTACTCAAGATCAGCATTTCCCAACTTGGCGTCTTCCAAATGTAGGAAGGACTGATAACTGCAATTCCAACATATAGAAGATACCATTTTGAAGAAGGCTGCTTAAAATGAGTAGGTTTTGCTTTCCCTTATGTACCAATCATTTACAAAATCAGAGATGAGTCTTAAAGATGCATTGAAGCCTTCATGTACATCCTTGTGGTGAAAGTCAGCATGCCTTAGAAAATTGTAGTTAACTGCTGCTGTGTTTTAAAGGGGATTCCCAAATTCCATTTCCTGATTCTTTTTGTACAGGCTTTTAAAAGTAACCAAGTGAACCAATAAATCCTACTTTTGTAAAAGCAAATTTGAAGGCAAATGTTTAGTGTTAATTCAGTTAAATGAAGAAACCACCATCAAAAAGTTAGC